ATTTCTGGACATTTATGGTTTGATTTCTTTGTATGTATGGATCACTTGGTTGTTATCGACATCTGGTGAAAATTTCATGTCATTAGCACCTCTAGGAATATATTTACTGARAAAAATGGTGATGTGTTCAATACTTATTTTACCCGTTGTATTTTTAAACCTTATGTTGCTGTTTCAAGTTATTTAAATCACTTGTAGTTTTGGAGTTTACTGAAGCTTTATGCTCGCAGAGAAACAGAAATATCTGTTGCTTTTGGAGGACAAACATGTTTATTTTACCCAAGTTATTATTAAGTTAAAGTGCATGCGACATCAAATTTTTGTAATAAGTATGAATGCATTTTTGTACAGACAGCATTGGTAACATATTCCAAAATCAATTTCACACCACTGAGATGAACAGTGGTTAAGATATTCACATGTGAAGTAACAGGAAGTGACGTCAAAGGGGAATGTCTGAATGTAAACAGAGCATTGCTACATCGGCTAACAACACAGACTGCAGAGAAAAATCTGATGTTTCTTCAGATTTTTTTGAAGGAGATGAAGAAGATTCAGAGTTCAAATATTATAGTTTCAATAAAAAAAAAGACCAGGAAGTTATTTTTCTTGAGAGTTCTCCTTTGGTGTCACTTCCTGTTTCACTTTGGCTGAGCCAAATTAAAAGAAAATATACCAGCTAYGTGACAAAATGGGTACAWTAATGTGYATTATGCCAAGTTTCTTAAATATGAAGATATTTTATTAGACTTTTTGTAATTGAAGGATACGCATGTCACAGGCACTTTAAGTGGGGTATTATGTATTTTCCAGGCACATAGTTCAATTCTACCACAATCAAGGAACCATGTTACCTTCAGTTGCTATGAAAATGCTGTATATATCAAAAATCATGTTGACTTTGCATCATAGCCTATCTAAYCTCCTTGACATTAGCCTCTTTTTCGTTAAGAACCTCCTACCATTTCTGACACTCCCACCTCTGTCTTCACAGCAATGCTTTCTGCAGGGAAGAGCTTTGTATAAAAAGGCGGTGCTCCACATGGCCACCACAGGAGATTCAAGGATTTCTTAACCATGCCTGAATGAGTCAAAGCAACACTCTGGGTTTGTTTTTGATGAGGGAATGATGTTCTAAAGTTCAAAAACAGATTTTGCATAATACTCCCCCCTTTAAATCTGTTATGATCAATGAAACAACTTAAAAAACACAAACTCATCCTTCACAGAAAAGATCAAACCTGACACTTCTGCTGGGCCAGYGACATGTTAAGTTGAGAGAAACTCCTGTCAGTTTTCACTCAGACATAATGAACACAGGAATGAATCCAAACCCAGAKGAGATCAAACACAAAAACTACTTTCAGTTTTTTTAGCTGTCACTACTCCACCGAAGTTGTGTAATGACATAATCAACACAAGTTACAGCTCTCAAGTTGTCAATTACTCTAAATTTCATCTCATTATCCAGTTTAAAGACTGTATGACAACTAATCATGCTCTCATCATCCCATATTCACATGTGAACGACTCTTAATGTTAACAGCTTCTGTTAAAGCCTTTATGTGTCGTGCTACAGTAATGACACTAAATACACATTATACTGACTTCTCCTTGTTGGTAAAATTAAATTGTCAGCAGAGCTGCACTTTTGGCATAAATATTTGTTTTTAATCATGTCAGATTTTATGCAAATAAGCGGTGGTTAATAATAGCACGGCTACAAGCAATAAAGCTCTGCAGAATAAATCCAAACATTTTGCTGAAAGTRAAGCAAATCAAATTAAACACTGTGAGAGTCAGCTGTAATTGTCTCGGCCCATCTGTGAGAGCAGGAAGTTCAGTCTCATCAGACTTCATGTAGTTGGGATTTCACATTTTTGTACAAGAAATGCAATTTTTTTCATTGTAAAACTAATTATGAAAACTAAACAGTATTTACGATTTCTAAGTTATAATGTGAGTGAGGTGCAAATTTAAACAGCCGTGCATTTTTTTAAAAATCAAAACCTTTCACAATGTAAGCTACAGCAAACATACAAATATATTTTTATACGGTAACTCTATTATGACTGCAGTGTAGATCAGTAGAAATTGTGTTCTTGTTGTGTGAAAGCTGACTCAGCATTCAGAGTATTTGTTTTCTTTTTTTATCAAATAATTTTTCTTCCAATTAATCTTCTGCTTAAGCTGTGCAACTCAAACCATTCATACATCAAACGTGTCTCATTGAGTTAAATATCTTAAAGGGATCCCCGATTAGTCGTAACATTAGACTTTATTTCATAAACATTTATTTTAACTGTAAAATAAAGACTGTAAAAATACTGTAGGCTGTTTAGTTTTGTAAATTGTTAAAAATATATTTTAACACGGAGGGAGCCATTTTATTTACACGCAAAGCATTCTGGGTAAATGACGACGTGGATAGGTCCTCGGTGTGAGCGAGCTATATCCACCCTGAAGGTTAATCTTGGACAATATCTGATGATGAGGAGAAGTGTGGATGGAGGACAACAGAGCTGCTCCATGGAAGAAGAAGCTCACTTTTGCCTGTTAGCC